GGACCCCCAGGAGGGGGACCTTTAAAAAACCCTTCTTCAATGCCTACACACCTGACAACAAGAACTGTTTGTCCCCCAAATACTATGGGGGTGCCGTGTTGTGCACACACACACCCCATCCAGTGCTTCCCCGCAAAACGGGGGCAAAACAGCCGGTCGCATACCCAAGCAAGGGCGTCGACTGACTGCTTGACTTCCCAAAAAATCGCAACATCTCTGTTTCAAACAAAAGCGAAACAGCTCCGACGCCACATACCGTTGACACTGGCGGCAGCCACACCAACTAGCTAGACGCACGCGTGACGTGCGACGCGTTCCACAAGCTAAAGGCCTATCCAGTAAGATCGACCGTTGGGATTGTGTATTGGTGAGGGGGCGGGGGAGGTGAGGGCCCACTCGTACCACGACCTTGTTGGAGGATGTACACCGCCAGAAGTGCGCCGATACTTTGTCCCCCGGCTTGAGCACGACGGGCGTGCGGAGAGGAATGTACAGCGGGAACCAGCTGAACATGCCCTGCGGACGCCATGCAAGAGGGGGGGAGGGAGAGAGGGGGGGCGGGGGGGAGAAAGACAGACAGACAGACAGACAGACAGACAGACAGACAGACAGGCAGGCAGGCAGGCAGAGAGGGAGGAGGGAGGAAGGGAGGGAGGGAGACAAAAAGAGACAGAGAGAGACGGAGGCGGAGGGACAGAGAGGGAGAGAGACAGAGAGAGAAGAAAGAGGCACGAGGGCGAAAGTTGAGGTTTAAGTGTAAAAAATATATATATATTTATCGCACGTGCGTGTGCTTCTACAAAACCTTTTCCTGCGTACCAACACTGCTAGTGGAGATGTTTCACGCGAAAGGCGGATGTGAGACGCCGGCAACGACAACTCGATGACGACATCAACAACAACCACGCATTCTGTTTTTTTGCTCCAACGAACGTCTTTCGGGAGACAAGCCAAGGTCTATTGACACCAAAACCAACAGACTTGTGAGGCCCCACAATCGTCCCCACGCCAACACTTCCCGCAAGAGGTGGTGCTTGCACAGAGTCAGGACCATTTTTTTCCCGTGCACGATATCAAACCCTACACTTGGGAATACCAGGGGGGGGGGGGGGGGGGGGCGGGCGCACTTGGAAGCACTGGTGGCGGCGAGCGCCGAGCAACAGCATAACAACATGAGACGAACAAGAACAAGGGAAAAGGGCAAGCTTCACCCACCTCCGAGAAAGTGCTGGGCACGATGCTGATGTGGATGTCTGCGAATAGCCTCGAGTCGAAGAAACCGGCAAACCCGTGCAGTGTCGACGCCTGCAGAAAAAAAGACAAGACACCCTTCAACAATCAATGAGGATGACACGGTGGACTTGTACGTGAGGGTGGCCTCCACGCCGACACACTCAAAGTGTACGAAGAACCGATCCTCGGAAGCGTCCCGAGAACAACGGGGGGGGCTCCCGAGACCACTAATGAAACGCAGGGGTCTTCCATCTGCCGGTTGCCGGCATGAGCGGGCGGAAAACCACTTGTGTGGCACCGCCCTGCTCACTCCCTTTCTTGCACCCGCGCCTAGACAAATGTAGATAGAATCAAGAACTTCTCCGAAAGACATGTATACATGTAGCTGCGGGGTCTCACAAAACACCCACAAAAAAAGGAAATCGAATTCGTGGCGTGCGAACGAAAAGCAGCAGCAGCAATAGCAAGTCGGATAGGGAAGGAAAGGAACGGATCGTATCACGGGGCTTACGGGACCAAGAGCAATCCGCAACACCTGGCGCTGCCGTTGCAAACCGCCTCTCGTGCCCATTCGCTCACTTATCCTACCTTGCCGCTGCTTTCCACCAAGCTGTTGGCGACAAGAACAGTCTTCCGTACTTATCCTACGCTGCCGCTACTTCCTACCCCTGGTGTTTACACCGTCTTCTTTCCGGCCCTGCTTCTTACCTGTTCCACGTCGAAGTCCACCTCCACGTGCCGCTTGTTGTGGACTTCTCCGCCCACCTCCTCACTGGGGTGGTGGAACGTGAAGCAGGCCTTCTCCTCCGCCAGCTGCACGAAGTTGTGGAGCTTCACCACGTACGCCGTCTCCAGCCGCTTGAGCTCCTCGAAGTTCGACACCTCGCGCCACAGCTTGTGGCTCGACATGGGCGCCACGTAGGACGTGTACTCCTGCGGGATGGAGACGCCGCCGTCCTTGAGGAACCTCTGGGCCCCGTCCAGACACTCAGGGGAGAGCTCGTTGTCACCCCAGGACCCCAAGAGTTCGGACACCAAGATGTCTGCCTTTTCCTCTGGCGCCTTTGTATCGCGCGCCAGGATCGCACGTCAAGCGAGCACAGCAGTGCAGCACAAGGGGGCAGGGTACAGCAGTGCAGTTCGGGAGGGGTGTCAGCTGAGTAGTGTACAGCAGTGCAGCACAAGCGGGTAGGGTACAACAGCGCAGTTCGGGAGGGGTGTAAGCTGAGTAGTGCACAGCGGTGCAGCACAGCGGGCAGGGTAAAAGCAGCGCAGCTTGGGAAGGGGTCGCTCAGTAGTGTCAGCTGACTAGTCCCGTGGCGGGCGCACTCTCCAGTGCAGGCGAACACTATTGATAGCACGAGTGGTCAAGCTTTAATACACATTCTGCAGAGTGCCAGGTTTCTCTCTTCGGCGCCGGTGAAATTGGCCGGGAACCAACACCCCCAACAATACTGGGCCTCCCCCTGAAGGCTGTAAAAAATCAACAATAGTAGCTCAGTAGTCAAATCTAAGCACACCAGAGGCAAGAGTGATGATCAGAGGAGGCCTTGCCTGTTGGAACACACAGGAAACAAGGCCATTAACCCTCCTATGCGTAGTACTAGAAGCCCAAATGGGGACACTTTGGGACACAGCTCCCAAAGGCCTATTTACCGCACTGCTGTAGTCACCCAAGGCTCCGCTGTGTGCAACGCACGTGAGTACCCTTGGTCTATCATGCTTGGCTAGGTGGTACGCTGTGTGATAAGCTGTATGATGCCTCTCTTGGGCCTCTGACTTGCTGTACACATGTCCCAACCCGCGTGCCCGCTAGGTCGTAAAACTGTACATCGCCTGGTACTCTGGAAAAATTTGCTGACTTGGAATCAGTATGAAAAGTGTCCCGATGTGTTTTGGGGACACGTTTCATGCTGATTCCAAGTCACCCTTTGGCTGGCAAGGAGCTCAGCTTCTTTGGAGGGACTGTAGCCCCTCGACCAATGGCTCACAAACATTTTTTCGGCACTTTTTTTTTGCGGATGGACTGGGTAGGAGGGCTAACCGTTGTCCCGATAGCAATGAAGTGCCGAAGTGGGACATACGACACGTTCATCGACCGCGACAAGAAGAGAACTGAACAAAGATGCCGGTTTTCTTCCCCTTCACTACAACAGACTCTCAACAGCCCTTTCCTTCGAGTGCTGTGGTACAGTACTATCTCGAACGGTACATTAGTCTCTCTGTGACAGCATGTACATGTTATCAGAAAACGGGCGAGGAACACTCACAAACTCGCGCATGTCCTTCGCGACAATGGTAACGTTGGTCCACTTGTCCATGATGGCGCGGTTGCGGAGAGTGATGACAGCGTTGGCGTTCTTCTCCACGGCGTAGACCTTGAGCGGCCGGCCGGCCGTCGCCCCCGCGTTCAGCGCCGCCTGCACCAGCGGCCCTCTTCCCGCCCCGACCACCTGCACGGACACGAAAAGTAGGTGATCTCTTAGTCCTATCTAAGGCCATAACGCCCTCTGATTGGTCGAGAGGTGCTTTCGCCCTCTGTCTGATCCGCATTCCGAGGTTCTACTAGCGACTCTTCTTCATACAAAGGATTTTTACGCCCTCTGATTGGGCGAGCGGTGTGTTACTCCCCAGCGCCCTCTCTCTGTTCCGCAGAATTCCGATAACGCGCCACGTTCTCTCGCCCGGTTTTGGGCCACCAGGCCTTTCGATTACGGTGACGGTTACGGTGACGGTGTAGGGTCCCTAACGAGCGTAGCTAGACCTCGACGGTACGGTACACACACAGCATCCACGTTGTTATCCTCCAAAAAACAAGTCGAAACCGGTGGTATGTACCAGGCCACCATAAGACTGCTGTATACCACAGATTCCGGTGTGGTTCTCGGTGGGCTCTTCGAGCCGAACCACACCAGGAAGGCGTGTTGGGTTGTTCGGGCTTGGAAAACGTCACAGCTGGCGGGCAGCTTTTCGAGCTATCTTTTCCATCTTGCCACTCCTTTGTTGATACTGCGGTGCTTTCATCAGCCCGCCCCGGAGGGCACCCTGGTATCACCTACCTGGCATGGATTATAGAGCTGAGTCTGTTACAACTGTGTGTAGGGTAACACCGAGCAGAACTCCGAAACTGAGCGCCACATGAATTTGCAGCGTGATACTGCTGTACGACCCACCACCGTTTTCTGCAAACGTCTATTTGTGGGCCGTCATCGGCAGTGCTATACCACCTTGGACTAGAGCGCTCTCTGAGGATGAAACAATGGGCCATCAAAACAAGGATATGAATACAACCCCGTACAACATCCCGGTGGGTTGAATCCTTCCGCCTTCAAGAGACAGACCCTCGACATGCGGAACGGAAACTCGAAGGACACAAACCCCTTCAAGAGACGGTGGCCTAGTGGCCGACTGACTCACCATGAGCACCGTGGTGTCAATCCCTTCCTTCTTTTTCTCCAGCTCTAGCGCCTTGACGATGGCCCTCTCGTACTGCTTGTACTTGACCGGGTCCTTCTCGAAAGCCTCGTACGTCTGAGACTCGAGGTTGTCCATCAGGGGCTGCAGGGGGGCCTGCAGGTAGTCTGTGCCGAGAGAGGCGACAAGAGCATCATCGCGAGTAGGTCTGAGACTCGCGGTTGCCTATTGTATGGTCGATTGGTTCCCCGGGGAGGATGGACGTAGTCTACAAACGGGATTTTTACAAGTAGCTCTGAGACTCGAGGTTGCCCATGAGGGGCTGCAGGGGGGGCTGGAAGTAGCGTGTGCCGAGCGAGCGAACGCACAGAATCGCCCCATCGCGAGGTCATCACCCTTCTCGTACGGTGAGCATGCGGGCACACAAATTCCCGGCGGGAGTTTCGGCATTCACACAAGACGATGGAAGAAGGAAAACGAGAAAAACTAACGGCAGCACCCAGGTACATGGTGAGCCGGCCCCCGCCGAACAATTTCCACAACATGGGGTATAGCGTGCGGGCACAAGCAAAATGGAGGCGAAGTGCCAGGTTTCTTTACCGTGTGTCAAATTTCTTTTTCCACATGCCAAGACCGCCAATAACAACACGTTCGTCCAATCCACGGCACCCGTTTTCCTTGGCAGTGCTTCTTCTCACTGCAATAGCCGTGCGCCATGCTCCTTCACGTAAATCTTATTTCTTCAAGGCACGTTTGTGTTCTGGTTCGTTTCCTCGAAGCGCGGGACTTGGCAATCTAGCTGCCTATCATCACTCTGCCTTCGGCATCTACCCGAAGGACGGATGCAACACAGCCACCCCTTTCTCTCCCTCCCTTTCCCCCCTAACTCATTCACCTAACCCAAGAACGTTCCCAGAACGTTCTGCTCACCGAGATAGGGAGCCTCGAAGTTCTCGTGCTCTTTGGGGGCCGGCAATCTAGTGCGGAGGTGCTCCAGGTACTGCAGGTACGGGAGGTAGCCGCTGGCGTGGTGGGAGCGCCCCTTGACCACGAACTGCACCTTTTGCCTGAACCAAGACATCAGTAATTAAGGCGAAAACAGATGGTGTGACATCGGTCACCAAGCGATTGCTCCTAAATATGTGTAGGCTTGTGAAGAACCTGTAACTAGAGTCGTCCCCCATGGCCCTCAGAACCAACGGTCTTGTTGTGCTCGAGGAGCATTGTCCAACGGTAAAAAAAAAACGCACCAAACCGCGGACCACCGCTGTCGTGGTGTACGTGCCATGGTATGTTCACGATCACGTATGTGCTTTAGGCCATTCCTGTGCTGCTGCGTGAGCATACTCCGAAATACCCCCGCACGTCGTACGTCGGGCATCATCTACGTATCGTATCGTGTGTTCTGTCGCGCTATGGAGCGGTCCTTTCCTGCCCGTCGCCGTGTCAATGTCAGTGTCAGCTGCCGCTACGCCAGCGTGCCAGCTCAGAGTGTGTTCTAGTTGTCGTGTGCCCTGTTCTAGTTGTCGTGTGCCCTCGCCGAACATATTCCCATCACACCAAGACACACAACACCACCACCCACAACAACACGCAAAATCACCAGCAACAACACCAACAACACCAACGATCAACAGCAACACTCGACATCAAGACGGACAACATCACCACCACCACCACCATCACCCTCAACACTCGACATCAGCAACAAGCAAAGCATTCTATGGGGTGCTATCCTCACTTTATCATGGCCGTGGCGAAGTCCTGGTGTCGCCTGGAGAGCGTGGGGAAGCCCTTCTTGTTGGTCAGGAACACCTTTGTCGACACGATGACCGCCTTCACCGGTTCCCCCACCCACCTATCGAGGATGCTCTGTGCGGGCAAGTCTGCAGTCATCTCCAGCACCACCGACAAGCTGAGAAACCGGAACGACAGGCATAGCGTTTCCGCGTGTGTGTTGTGTTACAAGCTGAGAAGCAAAAAAACACATCACAGCACGTCCGTATATGCGTGTGTGTTGCGTCAAGATCATCAGTTCGGCGTGCCGGCAAGGACAGCAAAGAACAACAATGACCACAGGAAAATCTTCGGATGCTGGGGACTGCTGTTCGTAAGGTGGTAGTGAATACAGTCGTCGAGCATGGCCGAGAACGCCCGTGACTTCGCAGCGATCCCTTGAGCACACAAAAGGAAGCATGTTCAACAAACTTTCGAGACCGTGTTTAGAGTCAATACACTATTTCCCTTGGGTCGTCCTGAACCAACGGCCGACGAACAACAACAAGCTTAAGGCCAACAGAGCGTACGTCAGGCTAACAACAAATAGCCAAGCACGCCAAACTCCTGTGCTGAAGTCACGACCGAAGAACAACAACCAGAAGAAATGAGACATAGTTACGGGTTGCTGATGGAACTACTGTAGCAAACTGCTGTTGCTGCTGCTGCTGTTGCTGCTGTTGCTGCTGCCGTATCGAATTGTAACGACGGCCTCACAACGTCTTCCGGAGCCTCGGCTGAGCCGCGAGATCTCCTTGTGTCGGTGCATCTCCATAACAACGGTACAGCAGCCCAGCAAACGCACTACTGCTGGATGTATGGAATGCTTTAGCTTTAGCGGCCCATGCTCATTAACTCAAGGCATGCAGCTATACATACAGTAGTGTGGCAATTTTTTTCATAGACGCGTACATGGCAAGTAAAACTCAGGCTACGGCTGACAAGTGGTAGATATCACAGAACGAGCACACCGGTCTATGTACTGACTTCAAATGGTTTCAACATACGCGCTTTGGCATAACTACCCCTACAGGCCAGACTACAAGCAGTACTCCTTTTGGCAGAAACGCTCACCAGCTCTTGTGCTCGCACATAACCCGGATGGCGTTCCACGTCTCCCACGGGTCTTCCACCGCCCCCGTCCCCCCCCCAGTCGACACCTTCCCAACATCACCCCCCTCTCCCTCGCCACCGCTCCCACCCTTGCCGTTGATAGCCGATCCCTTTGTACCATTGAGCTCAGGATCCAATGACTCGGGGTGCACGAGAGGGATCCTCAGCCACACGGCAAGGTAGGTGAGCTCTTGGGCGACCTTTTGGCGTGCCGACCGCAAAGGGGTTTCGGATATATAACACGGCAAACCAGACAAGCGGAAGGTCTCTGTTTTTGGTGCAAATTGCACTCCGTTGCTCCTGTCATAAACAGCCGTCTCCGAAGCTTTACAACTATCCCGGCCTCAAGAGGGTGGCAAATCCAACAGCGGCCATAGGTTGCTCTGGCCACCGGCGAACTACCGCCGCCTCGGAAAGAAACGGAGGGCGTCAACTGGGTGGGCGACCTATTCCCCCTGCTCTAACTCCCCAAGACCGGACTAAGTAGGGCAGACGCCGAGGTTGAACAGTACATTCTCCGACTATAATACAACCTCTTGGCGGAGATGCTCTCGCCCGCTCGTTCAGAGATACCGTAGATCTTCCTCAACTTCTAACGTCCTGTCTCTGGCACAGGGAGCTTCCAATACGCGACACCACTCATGTCGGTGGCCTCGGCCCCTCGGCCCTTCACCCAATGTCGAAAAAATCGGGCAAAGAAGAACACGAGGATCACACACACCCACCCCGCGCGAGCGTGTAAAGCGCTACTGCTGTCATTTCTGCACGGGGTGTTACCCTAGCTGATCAACAACGCTTCTCTGGCGGAAACAGGGACCGCCATTGAGAGCCCACGAGTTTTACTACTGAGACTCGTCTAGGTGAGTCGACAAATCAGAAGGCAACGAGCAACGAGCACCTTGACTTGAGGCACCGCAGAAGAACGATAGGGGGTATGCGGATAGGAACAGACATTTCTTGTCGCGTGACATATCGGGCTTCCGGCACAAGAGTACCCACTACGATACCCTGGATTCGACGGCAGCTATTAGAACATGCCACGCCTTTGCCGTCGCCAACTGGGAGACGTTGGATCAAGCCAGCTCACGCGGTCGATGCGATTCAACAGTCGAGAAACGAAACCAGCCCAGAGGCGCACACAACAAAAACGTTCCCCTGGGACGCTCACATCTTTTCATCAATCATGACTGAATGAACACACGGACCTTGATTGTACCCGCTGGCACTGACATCTTTCATTGATCAGCTGGTTAGCGCGGTCGATTGGCTATTGAACACACACACAAATACATGCGAACGCACCTGGTTGATGCACCTGGCGTAGTTGGAGCACCTGCCCGGCTTGGGCGCGGGGGCGATGACCGCCGCCAGCGCGAGGTGGGTCGCCCATGCCATCTCCTGCTTAAAAGCAAGCTCGCTGGCCCAGGCGGATTCCTCGCACGGAGAGTCCATGTCGAGCCACTGCAGGGGGGGGGGGGTCAGGGGTAGCAGTCCGTGGGATCGGAATCAGTAACCTAAAGGTTTTCATTAGCAAACATGTCGCATTAAGTATGGAATCGGTGGAACTTGAGTGGGATCGTAATCGGTAGCCTATGCAGGTTTTTACTACGCAAACATATGGGGTAAAGTATGGAATCGGCGGAATTTCGGGGGTTAGGGGAAGGGTCTACGAAACCCTCGCTACTTCTTGCCGTGGGCAGTCCACCGTAATGGGACCGGGTTGGAATCCAAGAGAAGCAGGTTCGGAGTGAAGCGGGGGCTAAGACGTAACAGGTGGTTCTGATTCGGAGAGCCCAGATCATCTCAACGAACCAACCAAGAAATGAAAAAAAAAAACTGCTGTATTGCAGCCTCCTGTTGCGATGGAGAAGATCGCTCTCTCAATCCACAGGGCGAGTTAGTGTCATGACACCACAATAAGCGGCGCAACTCGTATCTCTTGGTGACGCTGGAAGTCGAACTTCTTACCTTGCGGAACCGTTCCGTACCTCAGATATCTTCCCGACGATCAGAGAGCTCCATTGGCGGCTGTCAAGCAAGAAGTCGCTGCGCGTGAGGGGGTCCTCCCTCCTGCTGCTTACGCCCAGGGCGTCCCGCTTGAAGCGCGGGTGGACCTGCATTGCGGCAGCACCGGATCAAGGGTCAGTTCAGGCTCGGTCGACACGTCTTTGGCACGCACAATAAATTGTTGTGGCTGTTGTCGCCACTTGTCGAAGAACGAGAGAGGCGCGCGCTGAGAGAAACTCCAAGCAGGCTTGCCTTCAATGCTTCAAAGGGGTATGTCTCAAGTAGGTGTTCCGATATAGTACCGGTGCCCGGTATAGTGCCGTCTTCAAGTCTATGGGCAAGGTGTCCGATCCAATACTAACACCTCTCTATCCCTGTTCTCAATAGAGTCGGTGTTCGGCGCCGGTCAATCCTGTTGGCACATGCTGGAACTATGTATAAAGACAGACGACCGAGGGGGGGGTGTTATCTTCCAGCAAGGTGTGCTCGAAGCTGCTTGCTGCAAGCAAATAGTCAAATAGTTTCGATGATTTTGTTGCTGCTGGCAAACGTGCACACATCAAGCGTGGGTAGAGTGTTCACCTGCCGTGCTTCGTTTGAGAACATCACTTCATTGATGGCACAAAGAGTGGTTACAGCTAACACGGGCTGATGCTGGAAGGATGGCCATTGGCATCATCGATTTCACAAGGTACCGGACGAGACATTTGGCAATCACTACAGCAGTGTTGAAAGGCCACCGAACGAAGGCGAAACGCTCAATGACTTACCAGTGGGATAGCCACGAAGTCGAAGTGATCCTTGCGGGCTGGTGTACACGTAGGTGGTGTTGGCGGTATGACCATCGAGCAACAGCAAGGATGCGAGCGACGATTTGGCGGGGGGCAGAAATTTGGAAATTTGAACGCACAGGCGCTCCCTCTAAAAAGACGTTGGAAGAAGATCAACAACGAGGAGCAAAGCACACAAGCTAGTGGCACAGGCTACCCAGAGCAGTCACCGCATCGACGTAGCAGCAGGGTCGCCTCATGTCCCTGTTTGCACCAAGCAGTGCCTCCTGCTGACCTGCGCGTTGTGTGTGCGGCTGCCATGCAGCAAATCAACTTCAGTGCTCTCGGGTGGATTCGCTGCTTACCGTCATCCAGGAGTGCGTTGAGATCAGGGACGCAGTTAGTCTCGAAGCCGATGATAAGCTTGCCCTTTTCCGCCATGGCTCTCTCTCTCCTCACCCGCTCGCTCTCTGCTCCTGAGATGGATTGCCGTCGGAAGTCGGAAGTCAGTGAGTCAAGGATCAAACGCAGTATGGGGGGTGACGCAATATATATGGTTCGGCCACGGGGGGGTCTTTTACTTCCTTCGTGCAAATGCCCCCCTCCAGTCGTGGTCGTTGTCCGCACTGCACGCACGTGCCAGCGTGCACACCCGCACACAGTACAGCACCAGAGGCGTGACGGCGCGGCAAAAGCATGGACGAGAAGAACCCTCTCAAGATGAAGGTGATTATACACTTGTGGCATTTGCCTTTCCTCATCCCCGGCAGTCAAACCCAGAAGGGAAAGATATGCAAAAAGATATCGTGGATTTCACCGGCAGGCAGTGGTCCACCGCAAAGTTTGATCCTGTCTGCACCTGTCGAATCGGTATAGCTCCGCGAGTGCCAGAGAGACTGATGAAAGAGTTCCGAAAGCGTGGAGTCTAACCACAGTACGCTCGAAGGTACTACCGTTCATCACGATTGGTTAACCTGGCCTTGATTGATTCGCCTTGGCACCGATTGCGGATGGATCTCTCTGAAGGTGGCGGATCTGAAAGCGGAGCTCGGACGTCGAGGTCTAAGCCAGACAGGGCTCAAATTTGACCTGGCACAGCGCCTCCAGACCGCAATGGATGTCGATGAGTTTGGCACCTTGCCATCACTGCTAAGCACTCCCCAACCATGGTCGTCATTGCCGTCGGTGAGTCCCAAAAATCGGCGTAGACTGCTGTCTACATGTGGCCAGCAGATTACGTACTTCAATTTCAAAACGAGACAATTCTTGCCAGACAACCTGTTAACCAGGTCGCAACGTTGCACGAACCATGTACGTAGATGTTTTGCTTTGTTGCACGGTGTGTATACGCTCACGTCGAAGCCAGAGACTTGTTGTGGTGCGAAAGCTCCAAGATCGACCAAATCGCTCGCTAAACGTTTGTCGGTAGGAGGAGCCCAAGCCAAGCGAGCAAGTGGATCTTATTGGCGGGCCAGCCATAACATCGAACGCCGTGCTTAGCGAGGGAACTCCGCCAACAGCCGCGGAGGGGAGTTCTGGCTTTGAAGATCCGCTGATTAACGAGGGCAAAGAGGGCGACGGAAACGAAGCCATTGTTGACGAGCCTGACCGTAACACGAAAGGCTCCGTTCTCACTGGTCAAGTTCGCCTAGAGGTTGGTAGTGAATGCGATATCGACAATGGCAAGGGCGATACGAGCAACATCACAGAAGAAAACAACGACACCGAACAAAGCTCATCGGTTGTCATCGGCATATTATCACCTTTGGTTTCTTCGGACCAAAAGGAAGACGTGAGCACAGGCAAGGATTGCGAAGCGGTGGCGGCAGACGAAAGGCCACTGCCAATTTGTGAATCACCTACCGAGACGCCAGGTGCACCGAGTAACCCATGCGAAGAAAAAAAAATGATTGCCGGAGAAGAGGACAAACACAAGGGACTAGGAGCAGAAGAAAAACCAACCGCACAAGATGCGACGGCATCTGATGAGTTGAAGGACCACAGCAGCCTAACGACGACGGCAGAGGAGAAAGATTGTGACAAAACAGCAATGGAAGCTATGCCACAAGATGCACCCGAAGGCGATGAAAACCATGATGGGTCTTCGGCGTCACTAGAGGGTGTGATGTCGCCGAGCTCCCTGCTATCCTGCAGCCAAAGTGTACGGATGAAGGACCGAGAAGAACGTTTCCGCCAAGAGAAGACACTCGAGGGCGGCGAAAGAACGGAGGGTACGGTTGGGAACAGCAAACGAGGTCACGATTTCGGTTGTGCCGGGGCTGGGGGTGGTGGTGAACACAACAATGTTTCCAAAGACCACGACGTTGACAGCAAGTACACTGTCGGGGCAGCAAGAGACGGGCCAACTTTGGGCTCTGGGAGCGACGTTTCCTCTAAGACTTGGACGGTTGAGGACGATTGCAGAGCCAAGCTGATGAAGCGCAAGGAGAGGTTTTCGGCTGCTCCGTCTAAAACGTCTGGGAGCAATGGGGCAGGCAATGCCCGTACTGAAGAGCCTCTTAGCGGCGTTGTACACTCCGAAAAGGTCGTGTCCGGGAAGCAGGGGGCGAGCGGCTCGACGGCAGCAAAAATGCTTCGAAGAGCCGAAAGATTCGGGGGAACGGGAGGTGGATCCAGCGCACCCTCGGTAAGCGATACACTCGTGCCGATATATTTTCGGTTGGCATCTACATCAAGGGTAATGTTACACTACCAACGACAACTTGCCCAACTTCACGCGTTCTTTGCACTGCCTGAACGGGAGATTTGGTGTTTTCCCGATGAAGACGGAAAAATGGAAGCCTCGTCCTCCCCGACACAACACAAACGTGCGACTCGACCGTCGCATTCCAGACCCAATACTGCTGTATGTCCTTGGGCAAGGCTTGGCAAAGGCACGTTGAACTCCCGAACTTTGGCGCTACAATATGTCCTTGAGGAACAAGGACGATGGTCCGCCTCAAACGGAGATGCATGGTCAAGAGTCTAACGACCAAAGCAACAAATGCGTGTGTGTGAAACTCTTTCGACCCTGCAGGCCACGCCCGCCTCAGCCGAAGTACGCGATCCCCGCGGAGGTTGCTTCCCTGGATCGAGCGTCATCCCGAAACACGGCTCCAAGCAGCAATCACCATCAGCCGAGATATCCTCTCTCGACCCCTTGCCCCAACGGAAGAAACGTGCCCAAGCAGAAGCAATAACACCGCGGAGGGACGGCGGTCTACTGGCAAAGCGGAGGAGACCGGGGTCCGGCGTGGCATCGGAACCAAACCATGGCCGAAGTGCACGGAAGGGGGCATCTTCAACAAGCTCTCCTCGCCCGCGTCGAAACGAAGGACACGGGGTGTCGGACGAACCTGCCGGTATTGTCAACGGGAAACAGACGTCGGTAATCCGCGCATCCAAAAAGAATGGTCGAAATGAAGACGCGAAGAAGCAGGCGGAGGAGCAAGCAGCCAAAATGGCCAAACGCCAAAAGAGGTATGCAGCTGCATCGTTGAACAGAGCTTCGTACGTTTATAGTACCTTCTTTTGACTTGGTCTTGGCCCGTCTTGTTCCATCTTTGTGTTGTACGCGTTTTGACATTGTGCCGTCTTCACCGTGAAATGTCCATCTTAGTTTTCTATCACGGGCACATGGAAAACAACGTGTAACATCGTGAGAGGGTTCGGCAAGAAATTAAAATCTCTATCTTCGTATAGGTGTAGGCTTTAGCTTCAAAGGGGAGCAATCTACGCCTTGAACAATAGAGACAGAACTTGCAAGGAACATAATGTTTGTTGAACTGTTTCTGCTGGTCGCCCGTTGTACAGGTGGGAACATGGGGGTGAATGGTCGATTCATGCTTTTTGTGTTCGTGCCGAAGCATCGGGGATGCAAAGTGCCCATGCGTGTTGATGTGGCGTATTCTTGCTATCTACTTGTTGATATATGCTGGCAAGGCGATCACGGCAAGCTGTTTGTTAATTAACACCATGATTGCTCTTGTATGTCGTTTGTGTTGACTCTTTGTGCACCTCACCACCAAAAAGTCATATCTGTTCGCCATTTTCTCGTTTGTTTTGCCAGGTTCGCTGAAGACCCCAGGGCGCCATCGTTTGGATAGGGCTGTTGATAGTTGGTTCGACCGGGGAGAGTCGAAGGGTTGGACATGAATCGATGGGGCTGTTTTTTTCGCTAGGTTCGGTAAACGGACACCGAGGACTGTCCGATGTCCTTGCCGGCGTATGGGAGAACGTGGTTCCAAGATTGTGTCCAGAGACGCTCAACTTGTGAAGGAGCCTGGGGTAGGCGGGTGGGTGAATGGTTTCAACAGTGGTTGGGGGGAACGCTGTTCATATTGGTGAAAGTGGTGGGGTGGGACCCTTCCAAAGTCTACCACTGTGCGGCAGCCTTGCTCGAGCCGGTGAAGAGAAAAATATGGTAGGTCTCGAGAACTTTTTCGTGCGAGAATGTTCTGGCGTAGCAGTGTGCGGGGGGTGATTATGACGTTTGCTGCATCGGCATACACCCCCCCCCCAACGTTTCGTCTCGAATGGCGAGAAATCGACCCCGGTCAAGAACAATTCACATGTATGTGACGGGAATTCACTTTTTCGTTGTGTTGGTTATTAGCCGACGGGGTCGTACGACGGTGGTGATCATGGCAGATCAAGGAGTGAAGACAAATATCTTGTTGAGTCGCATTGTTATTGCCTGAGACTTCATCTTACGACGAGCTGGTAGGAGGCCTGGCCTGCGATTTTAAGAACGCCAAAGACAGAGCACGAGGATGAACATGCACAGACCCAGAGACGCTTGTCAAACACACATTGGTTGTCAGGAGGTGTACGAGAATGCTACAAGAGAGGCAGTTGAACGTCAGTAACTTCCACCTGTGCCTGCGCGAGAAGAGCGAACGTGGCAATAAGGCCTTTCAATCGAAAAACAAGGTTTGGTGGTTGGTGAAAGCGGGTACCCGGCGTTGTCAGACAGAACTCAACATAACGGGTGCGAATGGTAACATCCCCGCTGCGCACCCTTTCAACAGTTCTGTTCACAAATCTCCAGACGAAAAACCCTTTGCTGTTGACCGAAGTCCCAGCCAAAGCAACGTGTGGGACACACCGACTGCAAGCCCTGTCCAGGCCGTACACGAACCGTGGATCCCTGGCTGTGTTTTCCTGCAGCTCACGTCCGAACACCTGCGGCTGCAAACGACCCGACTCCCAGCGCACCCTCTTCAAGCTACCCCTGGGCCTTCATAATCGATTACATGAGCGTTTCTCGACCCAGATTTCAACAAGGAGCGAGCTACTCCCGCCACCTCAGGGCAAAGGTCAACACGGCTTCCACTACCCCTACTAGCTTGTGGAATGGGGGCCTGACCGAGAGCAAACCAGTCTCCTCGGTGTACATGTCCTGAATAGTCGACGCTAGAAGACCCGTGGTGTGATATTGGTGCATTCTCGCAGCCATTTCTTGACTGCTCCGATGATGTCTGGGTGGAATTCGGCGCGGGGCCGGAGAAGTCAAGGCTCTCGCCGTCCGCTAGCAGGTGTCTGAGAGCGCAGCGGAGCCGCCGTGCTTTATTTTCGAGTCGATTCCGCTCAAGGGCTTCGCTTTGCAGCCTTTGTTCCACACTGGGGATGGGTAGGGGGAGGGAGGATAGTGGAGTGTTCTCGATGTCATGTGTGAGTTTTCTGCACTTTCACAGACCCTCGCCAATCCAACACAAGCATGATCGACGTATACAAAGACACCGGCGTAGTGTCGGTCCAGAGTGACGGGTGACGTAAGATTTTGGAGCAACTGTAGCGAGGGACTTAGCGGGCGGAGACAGGTCGGACACCTATTTAGGCAATCATGACGATGAGCGAGTGGTCCTTATGCTTTCTTAGCGTCTGTGATAACAGTCTATATAGGGAAGCAAAATAACCAGCGCTGCCGCAATGAGGCCCTTTAAAGCTTGGTCGTGCGTGCCCATCAACCGACGCACCTCGTTGTTTCTCGCAAAGCGGAGGATAGGGCTTCTCCTGCCTCCACCCACTGCTCCTCACACAGCTTGCGCGACTGTGTCAAGCGCTGCAAGATTTGCACCTTGTTGCGAGGAATGTGTTCAATTGTTTCTGATGCCACCTCCTCTAGTGTGCTGGATTCGTCTACCCTTGCTTGTCGACCGCGTCGGTCTACCTGTTTCTTGCGAGGAAATACGTGGAATACATCGGGTGGGTGCGGTAGATCAAGGGGGTAGGGGGGAAGGCACTCGGTGAGGTCAAGCGGAAGACGTGTGTGGCATGTTGTCCGGCGAGAACACGATATCGACAAACGCTCGCTGATGTAGGATGGGATTCAAGCAGCTTCGAAAAACATGTTGAGAGAAGACACATCCACAACAGCTCGGTAACTCTTGCAGGTGAAGCAGAGCACCGATCTGATCTCTCGCCATTGCTATTCCGCCGTTAAATCTCCCAATACACCAGAAAACCACTCTTTTTACGTTCCGACGTTCTCGCCAGCGCCGTCACTTGTTGACCCTGTTGGCATTCCTTCGGGTATAGCGGTGATGTCACAACCAAAGTGACAAGGACCAGAGGGCTAAAACACGTGCACCCACCGGAGTAGCGTCGCTCGCGTGTCTCGCTCGCCTCAAAACCTGGGCCCCCTTCTGCCCGACCACCTCGAGCGTTCGCAAGGCTGCGCCGACCATTTCCCACGCCGTAGAGTCAGCCTCAATCGCTGAAGCTCCGCCCCTCGATTCCGGAATGCTTTCCGCGCTGTAGGAAGCTTTCGCCTTTTCAGGGCAGAATGCCCCCGCTCGTCCCTCGTCTCCCTCGTTACTTTCCGCTTCGTCTGTTTGTCCGTCCCCGCTGCTACCGGTGGCAACCGCAGGGGAGCATTTAGAACCGTTCCAGGTGCCGTTCTCTCTTGCGTCAGAGACAAAAGCCGACCCTCGGGACGTCGTTCCCCCGGGGGCTTCTTCACGCGCATGCACTTCTTCGGATGATTTGAGGTTTTTCATCAAGGGTGCAGCCGCAGCGGGGGCTTCCTGATCGGGCAACCGGTGGGCAGTTCTGCCAGAAGCTGCCTGTTTCCTAGCATGCTCCAGCTATTTGACGATGACGTAAATTGGAAGGGGGGGGGGAGGGGACACAAGCGGGTGGTGGCAGGAGGACCTGTTCGTAGAAAGTGGTCAAGTCAAAAGAGTAGTCGACACCTACCTCAAGTTTTTTGGGAAGCGTTCCGAGGAGTCCTGGATTGATATATCTAGAGTTGATCTGTACCCATCCGAAGGAAATACTCCATGTATCGCCTGGGTAAATTCTATGAATACCACAGGGAACATTTGCTCGAACATGTGCGTTCCTCTGAAGAACTTGTGCTTAAATAGCACGTCGTCAACCGTGTGAAAATAGCGCGCTGCGAGCAGACGGCACCGTCGCTCTTCGCATGAACACCATGATATCTTCTTTCCTCTAGTCTCATCGGAACACGCTGCTCACCTCTTGCGCTAGGCGGGTAACGACCATTTCATACCGACTCCGCTGCAACGCCTCTCTCTTGCAGAACTCCCTCTGCATGCTCGATAGCTGCGCTTGAAGCCTGTGTGGAGCGCATACAAGATATCACGGAAAGAGAAGCAGCAGGTGTCGTGTGAATCCAATCGTCTCTGCAGATTATTTTCTTCAAGTTTCGAAAGGAGCCTTTTAATCAGGCTTCAGAAACATCTTAGCACGGCTCAGCATTCGTCGCTCTGTCGGTGTCAACGTGCCTCTCTGTCCTTTCGCCCTGGTGTGCTTCTGGCCTGTACGCTTCGCGAGGCCGTCAACAAACGCAAGGGTCAACACAGCTACAAGCTCTTCGCCGTGTATGACGTCCCCTGTTTTCTAGGCCGTGCGAGCAGATCGTTGCTGACAATACCTGACGTACCGAGAATACCAAGCAAATCTACGTATCACAGAAGCCTCAGCTTGCATTTAGTGCTCACAAGTAGACAGCCCGCACGCTAAACAACGTAGGGTCGAGAAGGTATTCCTTGCCTTGCGGTAGCCTCCATCTCTTCGTGTTCCTCATGCCTCACCGGGTTGCTTTGCACTCGCATGCATCTCGACGCGAACACCAGCGTGGATAAGGTCTCAGCCTGAGAGATGACCACGGCGTGGTTAAGGGCAGACAGGAGCCCGAACAGCAGGCACAACCAGTCGGTCTCGCGTGTTATAGCACTTTGACACGAGAGTCTTGTCATAGACAACGCGACAAGCATACTCCTGGCCCGTTTCGGAAGTCCACTAGTCTGGAACACGTGCGGTATATCTACACAGTGTCGGCGCGGGAAGCACACGTTTGCGGCGGTCGTGATTTGTACCAACCTTCTTCTAAGCCTTCTCATTTGCACTACAACCTTTCGACTTGAGAGGGCGTGTACGTGAAAAATGTTTTTTTCCTTCCCACGTACACTACCCGCTTGCTGTTGAACCTGATACCTGGTTTTGCGGTGCTGGACCCACAGTAGCGACGAGGGCTGCGTTAGCGTCCCCCCCCAAGGAGTCAGCAAGGATCCGAGTAAGCTTACTATCCCTGAGCGAACGGTTACGAGGAGAAAATACGTTCCGTTCAATCGAAGTACCCTATGGTGCTAGCGGCGATGGCTCATGTGTTGAGCACGTTCAGGCATTGTGCTGGGGGTAACTCGTGACCCACAAATGCATTGTTGTACAGCTTCACAAAAGCTGCCTTGGTTTTTGTAGGAATCGTAGCCTTGCTTCACCGCAGAGCATTCAAAACACGCAGGCGGCACGATGACGGAAAGAGCGCTTGCTTACCTGAAAGGAATGTGAGGTCGATCCAGCTCTGCCTGCCCGAGAGCAGCTACAACATTGCCAAGAGCGCTGAGCGACTGGTTGATGTACCCAGCTTCCCGCAAACGGTCTGCCTCAGGCTCTGCTTCAGCAGCAACGAGTGAAAAGCACCAAGCACGTAAGTCGGGGTTCTTTGGGTCTTACTATTGCCCACTTGTCCAATTCTCCGCCATTTTGGCAGACACAGGTAACGCTTGCGGGTTTCCAATTTACCTTCTCCGGCGTAAATGCTTGATGTCCTCCCCCTCTCCGACCCCGCCAGGTCAACCAACATCAGTTTCGACTTGCCCCTGCTCCCAGCATGTTGCCTTGCCGCGTTCGCCACGTCTGTCTCCGGGTCTGTCGAGAAGAGTCCGATCCCGCCGTGCTGGTCTAATGAAACCGTTAGGACGGTGTGACTGCGCGACGAGATATCGTTTTTCGCCGTTCGGGAGGTTGTGCGCTGCTGCAGGCCTAGGTTGATCAGCTCCGCGGCCTGCCAGATGGTAGTACGGTTAAAGATGCATGTTGTTGTTGATGTTGTGGTGGCGGTGTGGTGGTTGCTTAAGCAAGGGCACAACGCTCTCCTGCCCGACCGAACCTAGGTAGAGTGCTAACCACGTTGCTGTTGCGTTCACATTGCAAACCTTCCCGATCGCTGCTCAGTACCTTCTAATCATCCGTATCGCTGTTTACACACTGATTCGACTTCACGGTCGACGAGAGAAGGAACGGCTGAATCCCTGTCATGATTCATAAACAAGGAAGCGCCGCAGAAGAAGATGGCGGACACAATAAACGCTTCTGTGTGGTTTCCCTCCTTCACGACCTCGGCTGGTTCGTCCAAATATACCAAAATATGTAAAAATTGACGTCCGGAATTGACGTATAATAGCACACAAGACACACCGAGAAGGAGAAACCCTACTTACCTCTGTTGAGAAATGAAAAGTTGGGGACAATAAGTGGAGGTGGGGAATATAGGGAAGTTCACAAATTGACGCAGGTCCATCGAAGCGGAGGCCGTGAGCATGGGAAAGTACCATTCTTTCAACGCCTGGACAAACCTCTTCGTGCGATCGCACAGAGTACTCCCGTAGCCCTTCCACATAGAATCCCAGGGAAGGATTCTCCCGAATGATGAGTCCGTTGCTCTCCCCCCCAAACGGCGCCGTTGGAGTCAGGAGATCCTGTGGCACAGGTGATGACACATCTGTTGGAGTGTTGCATTCACACTAGCCTAAAGACCTCTAGAGACTTTGCCATTGATGCTTTGAAGTATTGAAGTTTGAACCCGTTCGTAGTTGCGACTCAAGGTATGTATAAGGAAAAACGATATTTACAGCCTAGCTAGCGTCGTAATCATCTTGGGTTGGGCTACTCTGGTCAGCTTCGAAGCCGCCAACCAAGCTACAGCACAATTCGTAAGGTGTATCGTTGGCGTTCGTGGCGCATGAGGGTATCAAGAGAGAAAACAATCGGAGGATAGCCGTAGATGTTTATCTTTGCACGCTGATGACCATTCAAGTGTACCGTACGTCCGTACCTGCACCGTCTCATTGTAGATCTGGAGGAGAGACACCTTGACCTTCACCGAGACGTCTGCTACTGACCCACGATCTGACGAAACCGATGACCCTTGCACGTGCTCAAACACTCGGGAGAGGGCACGAGGGATTATTCCAGGAGCTGTTTGGTTATGCGAGGAGATCTGGGCACCATTCATCGTTCCGCACTCCCGGAAGGGAGGTTCTCTATCCTTAGTATCTCCGAGTCCTCTCTTGCCCAATTCCGCCTCGGAGAGATCAACGCCTCGAAGAACGCCCATGGAATGCGACTTCCCTGATGCCGTCTGGCCATATGCCATGATGAGGCCATTGAACCCCGTCAAGCAGCCGTCTACTACTGGTGCAGCGAGGCTGGTTGGAGAATGGACGCCAGTACAGTAGTGTGTTCCGGTTGGCGGGATGGAAGAGGTCGTCCAGTTAATTCCAAATAGTACGGTGTGTCTTGGGTGTACACGCTGTATGCATGAGTTTGCTGGCATTCTTCGTTTTTGTAAGTCTCAACACCACAGTAGTCTATGTGGTGCGGCATGTACCGTACGGGCCCGCAACTACGACGCAGAGGATCACATCGAAACATAAGATGCACAGGGTGAAGACACACAGCTCGGCGTTGTATCCGTCGCTAACTCTATTCAACAACCTGTGCACCACGGTGGCGATGAACTATGTACATACCGTGTAGAGCCTGACCCGACATTGACGTCGCGAGCCTGTACTCTAGCCTACATAGACTAAAGACCATACAGTATACCTCAACGTTTCAGAATATTGGCTAGACTTACGTGGCTACAGGTTCCACTTACCTTTGGTACAATTCGTGTTGTTGGCACGTTGCGTCGAAAGCGTAATCGAAAGGGAAGCTGCGCTGTCTCCCACTGGCTATCAGGTCCACACACCCCTGTCTCGAGATCTGCACGGCAGGTCGGTACCCGCCGGATCTTTTCTGATAGTCAACCTCCGACACGAATGGCGGACGTATCCGCACCCCAACACGTATCCGAGAGCTCCGGCCAGTCGATCGAGTGAGTTTTTCATTATGCTGTGCAGGTTTTAGCTCCTCCGAAGCTGCGCTTTGCCCGTCGAAAGGACTGCTGCCGCCCGCGCTGCGACACGTAGAACGAGACCTCGATCGTGTGATGACTCGCCGTCTGGGCGGCAAACTTCGGCACCGAGAATGAAGCACGTCGCGCTCTCGGCCGTTCCAGGACCTCCGGGACGCTCCTCGTTGAGTGCTACAGGAAGAGAAAGTACCGGCTGGGGATGCCATAGTCCTCTTTGTCCTTTGTCCATGTATCCAGGATCGGCCCAACAGGATCTGAGACACATGATGTGACGTGCAGAGAAAAGATGTACCGCCGAAGCGCCCCCCCCCCCCCCCATGTTTTGCCGAATCCCGCCCCTTTTGGGGAA